CCAGAATCTTTTTTTTTTAAACTTTTCTTTTTATTATTTTGTTATAACAATGGGTTCATCAAGTTGTTCATAATACAGTTGTTTCAGGCCTTAAATATTCCAACACAAATCCACCACCCATCTCAACACCATGTACCCTTCCCTCCACCAGAGTTCCCAGTTTCCCACCCAACACCCCAACCAACCTCCCTCCTTGCTGGCACAGATTTACTTCAGTTATTTGTTACAACACAGAGGTAAATGGAATAATCAGACCTTAGATCAGTAAGAGTTGATCTGTGATAACTGTTACAGCTCACAATGATGTTACCTAAAGTCATTGTCTGAAGTTCTACTGTGCTGGTTTGAGCCTTTGCTGTTATTGTTCAGACCCATTGTTAGCTCACATTTTCCCTGCAAACTTTAGAACGTACACATCAAGAGTATGTTGCATAATGCACAAAAGCTTGAGAACACACAGATGCTTAAGTAATTACGTGACATTTTTGCTCCTCTGGTCTCCAGAAAGGAGGAAGTTCCCAGGGGCACTGTGATGACCACTTCACCCTGTCGAGCTTGGTGCCCCTGCGAGGTCAGATCTTAAATGACTAGGCAGCTCAGCTATATTTGCTGTAGCTAGGAAGAAACCGGTCAAGTTCTCAGGGAACTCTGGCTCTTCTTGTCTCTTAGTTTTCCTCGAAGGAGGCCTGCTTCTCTTTCTGGATCCATCCCAACTGTCAGAATCCGCCTGGCTTTGCAGTATCTTTTACGGTTCCACCAAAGTCATCAATGCAGACCTCAGAGTTAAGCAAATCAGTGAGGAGTGGAGTCTTTGCTTTCCGTGGTGTTGGGTGTGTACAGTTCGTTGAAAGCCCTCTGCTCTAGTGTTGAACCAGACTGTGCTGTACCTCGGCCAGCAAACCTCCCAACTTCTGCTGCTGGTGGGTGTGAGATGTGTGCAAGTGTCGGAGAAATACACTGGCTTTGGAGGAACCACATCTGGCATTGGGTGGTTGGCCTGGGCATCACACTGGCGTGCTTTATTTTCTCGAGGGACTAGAATGAGGTTTTTGGAAGTCATATTGTGCAGCTGCCTTCTGGGTAGAATTGCTGTGTTTTAGGAATGCCCTTTAGGAAAGGGGGAAGACAATTTCTTTGGGAGTTGTACATCATAGAGGACCCAAATTGAGTGATTTTCTTTCCCTAATGATGGAATTTATCAGCTGCTATACCCCAATTTAACTTGAGTTTCTAGCAGATGTTTGATTTAACCAAGTGTGAATGCGGTGCCATACTCAATGCTTCTTATTTTTTTCATGTTCTAATGAGTGTATAGTAGCAATCTCAATGTGCAGAAGTGAGTTTTGATATGGGCATTTGGGTACTTAAAAGATTTGATTCCTTACGGAGTTTGGAAAAGACATTGGTTCATGGGAAGTAATGTTATGGAGGAGAGCAGTGCAATCATTTGAGGAATTTTATTCTAAAGGTTGAATTTTATTTTTTCTGAAGAGTAAATTTTTAAAAATTGTACTCATTTAGGTATATCAGAATTAATTAAATATGTTAATTTTAGTAATTTATTTATTTATTTAGCTTTTTTGGGTCACACCTGGCGATGCACAGGAGTTACTCCTGACTCTGCATTCAGGAATTACTCCTGGCAGTGCTCAGGGGACCATATGGGATGCTGGGAATTGAACCCGGGTCGGCCATGTGCAAGGCAAATGTCCTACCTGCTGTACTATCGCTCCAGCCCCAATTTTAGCAATTTAGAAGTGAAATTGTGTTTACATGTTTTTATTTTTATATGATTATCATATACACATATGTCATGGATGAGTGTTTTAGGCATTCAGGGTATATATATGTTACATAAATGTAGACTGTCATAGGACTACATAGGTTGTTAAACACTATCTTTGGAAAAGGATTTCTTTTTTTTTTTTTTAATTTTTATTAGTGAGACACCATGAGGTACACTTGTAGACTTACAAATTTTCAAGGAAAAGGAGTTCTTAAAGAAAAAAATTCAATTAAGAATTTCCTCCTAGGGATGGGTGTTGGAACACTGTATGACTGAAGTCTAATCATGAATAGCTTTGTAAGGGTGTATCTCGCAATGATTCAATAAAAAAAATTCTTAAAAAAATAATGAAAAGTTGGGGAAAGTTAGAAAAAATTTCCTCCCAAGGTTTTATCTCCAGTTATTCTTATTTGAATGTCAAGGGCACAAAAGTCATTTCAATAAATTTACCCACTGAGATCTTGGTTCAAACCCCAAGTGTAATAAATAGCCATCTCATTTTCTTTGAAGATTGTTTATAATTTCATTCTTTGGTGGATAAAATAGGCCAGACCTTTCCCAAGAAGTTAATATACTTCAGATTTCAAGGTCTATCTTAATAGAGGTGAAATATTGTAGTAAAATGTGTCTTTTCTTTTTGTTTGTACTTATTTATTTTTTTCTTTTTGGAGTGGGTGGCTCTCCAGGGGTGCTTGGGGACCCAGGCTGTGTGGTTGTGACAGAAGGGTGCTTGAGCCCCCTGATCTGAGACTGTTGGGGCTGGTTCCAGCCGGGCCACCAGCAAACTGGCAGGGCCAGGGCAATCTGGGCCTTCCATATGCAAGGCTTGTGCTCCAGCTCTTTTGAGCCATCTCCCGGGCCTGTGCTTCCTTCTTTGGATGCCCCACATGGCCTGTGTTTCTGCTTTGGTGTGTGTTTGCTATTCCAATCTGTGTTACATCAATCAACACCTGTTGTGCTGCTCAAAGTATGCATTGAGAATGTGTTTATATGTTCTTTTTTTAAAAAAAAAATAGAATGACTATTTTACATGGCTTTTAAATACAAAACTTAGAGAGGGTTTATTTCATAATATGCTAATTTTCAGAATATGTAGTCTATCTCATTCCAATTCAGTCTCTTTTTCCCACTTACGAGTGAATCATCTGTTGCTTTTTTTATTTGCTGCTTAATGAGTGAAAAATATAAAGATGTATCAGTTCCTAATCAGCTCATTAGGAAAAAAATTGAATGCAAAGAGGGTGAGCAATCTGAGGTAAGAAGCTCAATACAAGAGTTCTTTTCAAGTAACCAGAGTCCACTGATTTTTCTCCTATAAAGAAAAATATGCTTTATTAAGGCCCCAAGAAAAGAGACAATCAACCAGATACCTAAGTGGGTGCCTGCATAGGAAGAGTTAGGGAAAACCAAGAAGAGAAGAGGCTTGTGTGCTAAGAGTATGTCCACTGTAGTGGGGTAAGGTAACATTTCCACATCTTAGCAAGGATGCCACAGGAAGTGCACAGGATGAATTCACAGATGAATAGTGCAGACACAAAAAGCTCAGAGGAGGAGAAGAGCATAATTCCGTGGGGGAAAGTTTCATGCAGATTGGGATCAAATTCAAGGAGCCTGAATAGATCGAAGAGAGCTCTCACAGGAAACAGAAATGAGCCAAGTGGCAAACATGTTCGGTGCCTCTTTTGCAAACACAGCACCCAGAAGGAGAGAGAGAACAAAAGGGAATGCCCTTCCACAAAGGCAGGGTGGGACGGGGAGAATGGGAGGGGGTGGGAGGGCTACTAGGATCATTGGTGGTGGAGAATGGGCACTGGTGGAGGGATGGGTGTTCGATCATTGTATAACTGAAACCCAAGCACAAAAACTTGTAAGTCCACAACTGTACCTCATGGTGCTTCACTAATAAAAATTAAAATAAAATAAAAAAAAAGAAATGAGCAGAGGCCTGGGGCTTTGCCTGTGTCACCACAGCACGCTCCGCCGGCTGCTTTGGTTGTGCTGGAGAAGTTGTGTAAGCAAAGTGTGGTGCTGAAAACTGGACTAACAAATTGGACTAGGTTGCAAAGGCTTTGCCTTGTACCACGAGAGAAAAATTTACACTGTATTTATAGCAAGCTTCTGTGCATACATTTATTTTTAAGTATAGTACTAAGATTCTCAAAAATTAATTTGGGGGGGGGTTCTCCGAGTAGTAGAGTCACTTCCAGTGACAATCATCCAGAGAGGTTGGAAGATTCAATTCGGGGGCCCGAAGAACGTGCTCCGGGTCACCAAGGTCACCCTGCTCTTGCAGGACCTCAGGCCACACACTGTGGTGTTGAGGGGCATGCCGTTTGGGATAAAACCGGGGTCTCTTGCATGACACTGACCCCTCTTGCTATATTCTTGCCCCTCAAAGAATAATCATCAATAATCATTAATTGTTAATAATTCGTGATCATAAATATTAACGACTAGTAATAATTCTCTCTATCACAAAGCTATTGATGACTCAGCATTCCAACCCCAGTTCCACTAGCAGTGTCAGCGTCCCTCCACGAGTGACCCGAGGTCTCTCCCTCTCCCCTCTCCATCCCCTTAGCAAACTCATTTAAAACATTTTGCTTATTATAGTTTGGGTGACAGGCTTCCATGAGTGTTGATGCTTGTGGTTTTGGTGTGCATGGTCACCTTACCTCCGTATCATGGAAATATCCAAGGTCCTGGACTTTCCGTTATCACTGCCCCTTCATATTCCAACCTGACATGCTCCCCCCCCTTTTTTTTTGCATTCTTTTTTTTTTTTGCTTTTTGGGTCACACCCAGTGATGCACAGAGATTACTCCTGGCTCTACACTCAGAAATCATCCCTGGCAGTGCTCAGGGGACCATATGGGATGCTGGGAATTGAACCCTGGTTGGCCGTGTGCAAGGCAAATGCCCTACCCGCTGTGCTATTGCTCCAGCCCCGGCATTCTTATTTCTATAATCCAAAACAAGGGCTTGCCATCATCAAATAGTAAGTTTTCAAGTTGTTTTTCCCTTATGCCTGTTCAAAAAGTACTGTTGTGCTGGGCGGTGTGTTATATTCCCACAGGCAAAATGCTCCAACTTGGAGGACACGGTTCGCTTCTTAAAACACATGCAGGTAGTTTTGGCGTAGGAAAGCTAGGCAGTGTCTTTTAGTTCATTATTTGTCCCTTTTAATTCTTGTTTTGTTTTCTCCTCCCCACAGGTGCTTGTGTCTATAAGGGCTCCTTGTTGGCGGTAGGTCACTTTTCATATATTTGGTTGATTTCTTTTGAATGTGAAATGCTTGATTGAGGTGATTTCATGAGTGGGTTGACCCTATGATTGTAAAGTGTGTTTATTGTCACCTACAGTTTGAATATTATTCCTCATCCTAGCACAATTATGCCCAATTACCTGATGCTTTTCCCAGAGTGAATTAGTTCCATTTAAATACTCAGGTCCTGGAAAAGAAGATCAAACACCCAATACATAATTTGCATTCCATTATTGTCTTTTCCATCAGAGAGAAAATTAGATCCCATTCATTTGTCAGATATGAACTTAGGTATGGTTTGTTTATCTTCCTGTTGTTTTACTTCTTCCTTAAAACTCTCTTCCAGAAATAGGATGGTAATTATATTGGGTAAAATCTGGAGTATATCCCTGACTATTGCTTTGAATTATACATCTAACTATTGGTCAGCAACAAACAGATTAACATTTTATTTCTGAACCTTTGCCATGTAGGTAGAATTGATTTTGAATTTAATGTCAGGTCGACTTGGGGGAAGCAGATGCAAGTTTCATGCATTTCTTTTCATTAATAGTGTATCATGGTGCATAGCAGTGTGTTAAGGCCTTATTGAAAAGGCTGTCCACACTCCATCAACTCCAATAAATGATGTGACAAGCCATTCTTCACCACTTTTTGATTTTGGTTTAATAAATGCTGTATTAAAAAATAAACCGAGATGTTGGAAAGAGATTGCTTATTTTTATCACAACTCACTATTGAAGTGAATGATATTAGCAAGTCATCTTGGATTATTCTTGTGTTGAAATAGGTGAGATGTATGTAGTATATCCAAGAGAGTAGGGAATTGAAGGAATTCACAATAATAGTTTTTGTTCTGTTTTGAGGCCACCCCTGGCGGTGTTCAGGGCTGACTCCTGGCTCTGTGCTCAGGGATCACTACCATATGGGATGCCGGGATTCCAGCCTGGGTTGGCCGTGTGCAAGGCAAGTGTCCTGCCTGCTGGACTATTTTTCCAGTCCCCAAAGTAATCTTTTTGAATTGGAACTTTATGCACTAAGTCACTGCTTTGAGGATTCCAGCTTTTTCCCTTCCTTTCCTTTTTTCCTTAGGGAATCAAATTAAGGGCCAGGGAGGAGACTCGCCTCAAGCCCTGCTGGACCTGAGCTTGACGCAACTGTTGATCTGTCCAGCCCAGCCTTACCTTACTGGGAATGGCATATAGCTATTGCTATGAGCATTGCTCGGGAGACCCTTTTTGCAAAAAGTCTTCAGGATGAAGCCTTTTTTTTTTAGTTTTATTATTTCACTTCCTTAAAGACTTACTTTCCCCCCATTATTCTTTCATATACTGAGAAATTCTTTTCCTTTGTTTTATTTCCTTTTTTCTTTTTCTTTTTTTCTTCTCTTTTTTTTTTGGTGGGTCAAACCTGGCAGTGCTCAGGGCTGATTCCTGGTCTGTGCTCAGGTGTCATTCCTGGCTATGGGATCAAGGCAAATGCCTTCACACCTGTACTCTCTCTCTGACTCCAGGAATTATTCTAGAGTCATAGGGCTGGAGCGATAGCACAGTGTATAGGGCGTTTTCCTTGCATGCGGCCGACCGGGCCGACCTGGGTTCGATTCCTCAGCCCCTCTCGGAGAGCCTAGCAAGCTGCCAAGAGTATCTCGCCCACACAGCAAAGTCTGATAAGCTCCCCGTGACGTATTTGATATGCCAAACACAGTAACAACAAGTCTCACAAAGGAGACATTACTGGGTATGCTCAAGCAAATCGATGAACAATGGGAGGACAGTGACAGTGCTTTTCATTATCATTTTTTTTTTGGCCATACCTGGAGATGCTCAGGCGTTACTCCTGGCTCTGTACTCAGGAATCACTTCTGGTGGTGCTCAGGGACCACATTGGATGCGGGGGGTGGTGTGGGGGGTTGGGCGGGTGGTCAACCTGGGTTGGCCGAGTGCAAGACAAGCACCTTTCCTGCTGGACCATCTCTCGGGCTTCTTCTCAGCAGTTTGAGAAGATTATTAGGCAGTACAGATGATTCTGTTGTCCATATTGTTATAAAGAAAATTGTTTATTGTATAAGATGTTTTATAACTTTTCAATATATTTTGATTACTACTGGTGCATTTAAGACTTAACAACAGACCAGTGAAATGGGAAGACCGTGTATTATTTCGTACCTCTCCTCCTTTGGAAGAATATCCAAGCAGGAGAGCAGTTAACAGATTTGCTCAAAGGTAACTGGACAAAACAAGCTGTCTTCTCTCTCCTGCTGAGCCTGATCTGAAGAGGCTAGACTCCCCCATACCTGTCGTTGCTGCTTGTGATTGTACATAATTGAACGCATCAATTATGAGGAGAGGTCAGGTTGATTAAGCTCAGGGAGACGTTGATTAATTTGTGTTCAATGTAGTTCCCGTGTCGTTCAGTTCCATGCCCTGGTTCAGTCTAGCACTCCTGGCTGCTGGGATCTGTGTCTCCTCCTCACCCCTGGACTTGCCTTTGCCTACCAAGCCTCTCTCTGTGTGCCTCAGCCGCCTCCGTGCTGTCGTATCATTATTGTAGTTATGCAGTTCAATCATACATTATTGTAGTTATGCAGTTCAAGAGTGGTCACAGTTAGTGTTGTCTTTGCTAAAACGTGTGGCCATCAGCGTGACTGGAGTGTGGGCTGCACTGAGAGAGGCCGAGAGTGGACAGAGGCAGGGCTTGTGAGGTCCAGTCAGATGGGTGAGCCGCTGAGTGAGGGATGGAGAACTGAGGAGTGGCAGAAGCTGAGTTATGGTTTAATTAAACTGCTGAGTGTGAAAAGAAGCCGCGATCTTGTTACTAGGGAAACTTGAAATATTTTAAGAAGGCTCCATAGAGGTGAGTCATGGAGATCTTGCTATCAGATTAAGTGTGAGAGAAACAACTGTCAGCGCCCCAGGAAAACCATGGGAGTCTAGAGAGATTTTGAATTCAGATTTGTTGGTGACCCCTTTGAGTTCTCTTCCCATTTTCAGGAACTGAAACTGGAGGTGATGGGTGGTTCATTGTGGATGGAGTTGATTGCCAGCATTCATTGGAGCTGTTCTCTGTTCACTGTGGTGTGGTCTTGGAGAAAGACACTGTACTTACAGTAATAAAATTGGGTGAATGTGCATTTATGCATTTTGAATAGAAAAGAAAGTCATTGAGAACATATATATATTCTAGTCTAGGTGTCTCTGATTAAACAGCTCTCCTTGGATGAGAGAATTTTCTTTTCTTTGAAAAGAAAAAGTCATCTATCCAACTTTTAGTGTTATTGCTAATATGTTAAATCAGAGTTTGGGCCTATTCTGGTATGAACAGACTGAGATAAAAGAAGGAAGATAGAGTTTGGAATCCTGAAGCAGTTAAATATATTACAGATTTTTTTCTATTGCAGATCTTTTGCTTAAGAAGAACAAAAACCTTAAGTTACCTTTTATTCATTATTTTTATAAATTGAGATATCATTGATATATATTTGTTTTACAATGATCTGATGTATGCATATACTTGAAGTGATCATTTATTTTTATTATTTTTTTGTTTCCTTTTTGGGTCACACCCAGCAATGCTCAGGAGTTACTCCTGGCTCTGCACTCAGGAATTACACCTGGCGGTGCTCAGGGGACCATATGGAATGCTGGGAATCGAACCTGGGTCTGCCACGTGCAAGGCAAACTCCCTACCCACTGTGCTTTTGTTTCAGCCCTGAAGTGATCATTTCAGTGTACTTAGTGAATATTCATAGTCATATATAGTCATAATTCTTTTTCTTGTGATGACAACTTTTAAAGATAGGCTCTCAGCAACTTTCTTTTAAAATTTTTTAATATAGAAATGGTTATTTTATTTTATTTTTTATTTAAAAATTTTATTTTTATAAAGTAGTTAACAATATTTGATTACATTTAATATTCAAACACCAATCCCACCACCGTTACACCTTCCCACCACCATATTTTGGATGTTTATATCCCTAAACCCAATCCCTACCCCAAAGTAGAAGAAAAATTATATTTATTTTGTATTGTTTGTTATGAATAAATCACTGAAAATGCTCCAAAAAAGTTTCCTTAGAGGAAAGTGTGTGAAGATTGTTGTATTTTACCCAGGGGCCATTAAGCCCTTCTATAAGAGATCACCAATATGTTGTTAAAGATTGAGCCTTGTGTGTTTTTACACCCCCCCCCCCCCACACACACACATCAGTAAAAATATATTTGCCCCTAAGATTGGTTGCCTTCTCCTTTAAACCCCATCCAATGTGCTGTGATACTCTTGGAATATTAGTGGTGTAAAGTATGAGATGTCCAGGAATAGGTCCACTTGTGGATGAGTCTTGGTCCAAGTGTGTGGAGAGCGGCTGTGAGCAGGGTGGCGGTTGAGTTCTGGAGGTTTTCGGCTGCTGGGGCTGGGTCCCTTGGGGTAGGGAGGGGGGTCTCACCCGCCCCCCCCCCCCCCCCCCAGGATGCCCCGAATGAAATAGCCTCTCAGCAACTTTCAACTATCGAGTGCAGTGTTGTCACCTGTAGCGGTGAGAGCCTGTGACTAGGAGTTGGGGAGGCTTCCTATGCTCTTTTCTCTAATCTGTCAGTTCAGCATGTAGATATTTTAGAACAAGGAGAGACTGCAGGGACCGTGTTGTCTGAACTCTCCGGTTTGTGGGTGAGAACACTGGACTAGGTGCATGATGGTTTGGGTTTATTCCGTTTTTCCTACAAGGAAACAAGTGAAGAATGGGCTTGGTTGAAGATGACCAAGTATCAGCTTTCTCAGGAAAGCGTTCCTCAACATATCAACATATGCCAGGTGAACGTGAGTGTGGGTCCAGGCCTGGGATGCCAGATGCCAGGTGGTAACTTTCTACCTGTTTTGTGCAGCAGCTTCCAGTGAGGATGCTGAAAGGTGTGGTGGGACCCTCATGGCTCTTGGATATTGTCAGACCCCCATTTGATTCTTCCTCCTTCCTGCCCAGCAG